GAGCACGGTACACGAAGCTGTACAATCGAAAGGCGAAGGAGCGGAGTTTCAACCCCGAATACAAGGTACTGATTTTACTTCCCACTGACACGAATAAGCTGCTGCTGCAATGGAAGGGCCCTTTTGAAGTCCGGGAAAAGAAAGGTAAAGCTGGCTACGTCGTAAAAACGGCTGGCAGCAGAAAAATCTTCTACGCCAACATACTGAAAAGATATGAGGAGAGGGACAGCCCCTCCACCAATGTGGGCAACGTGACATTTGGTGTTGTGGAATCGAGCGAGGACGAGAATATTCCAACACATGACTGGCTGAAAGTGGAAGGGGAAGAAGACGTGAAGCTCTCCGACACACTGGACGCTCAGCAGATGGGACAGCTGCAAAGAATTGTCAGGGAACACGCTCGTATTTTCTCGGATGTCCCGGGCAAAACTGACTAGGTCCACTGCAACCTCGAACTCACCATGAGTAACCCCGTCCACGTGAATAATACCCTCTTCCCTTCGCAACGCGGAAAGGTGCAGAGAAAGAGGTGCGGGAGATGGAGAAGCTCGGCATCATTGAGAAATCAGAGTCGCCTTATAATTCGCCAGTTATTTTGGTAAAAAAACCCGACGGTACTAATCGACTGTGTATCGATTTTCGACGCCTGAACAACGTTCTGGTGGCCGACTCCGAACCTATGACAAGAACTGACGCGGTGTTTGCTACAGTGGGAAAGAAGAAGTATTTCTCGAAGCTCGAGTTCGTGAAGGGCTATTGGCAGATCCCGCTGACCGAAGAGTCCAAAGCGAAGACGGCCTTCTCGACGACATCGGGACTATATCAGTTCCTCTTCATGCCATTCGGCATCAAGACAGCGCCTGCTGTATTTGCTGAGTTGATGCGGAAGGTTGCAGAAGGTATACCCGGTGTGGACCATTACTACGATGATGTACTGGTAGCCACCGAGACATGGGAAGAGCACCTGAGGTCTCTGGGACTGCTTTTTGAGCGCATACAGAGGGCCGGGCTTACAGTGTGCCCCAGTAAATGCGAAGTTGGTGTGGAAGAAATCGACTTCTTGGAACACCGAGTTGGCAGGGGCAGATTGCAACCACTGGGGAAAACACTCGACAAGATTGAAGCTGCACCACGTCCTTCAATCAAGCGACAAGTGTGCGCCTTCCTCGGTTTGACCAGGTACTATCGGGAATTTATCCTGAATTGCGCAGAAGACAGCCCTACAGATTTAACCCGGAAGGGCGAAGCTAACTCGGTGAAATGGACAGCAGCCCACGAGGAGGCTTTTCGAAGTCTCAAACAGCATGTCTCTACAGAGCCGATACTACGGCTACCAAATTTGCACCAATCATTCGTACTTTGAACGGACGCATCGGACACAAGTCTCGGAGCCGTGCTCATGCAGGCCCATGAAGGCAAGTTCCACCCCAAAGCTTATCCCAGCCGAAAGCTGCTTCCATGGGAGGCCTCCTATAGTACCATCGAACGCGAATGTCTCGCATTGGTATGGGGAATTCAGAAATTCTCTATGTACTTATATGGAGTACATTTTTGTGTCCAGACAGACCACCAGCCTCTGAGTTATATCCAACAGGCAAAACAGCTGAACGCGCGAGTACTTCAATGGAGTTTACTACTCCAAGAGTACCAATTCACCATTACACATATTAAGGGTAGCGAAAACGTGGGAGCCGATTACTTGAGCCGGATATAGTTCTTGAGGTCTGGGAAGCATGTTATTTTTTTATTCCTTTCGTCGTTTGTTTTCTGTTTGTATGTGCGTATTTCATTGTATAAGAAGTGTATTTTGAGTTATTTTCTTTTTGCTTGGTGCGTTGGTTGTTTTTACTTGTTGTACTGCACATTAAAGGATTTTACTACAGTAGAGGAGCACACCTGTTCCGTTTTGTTTCGTAGTATACATTCGTGCAGTGTATTCTGTATTTATGGCTGCCGTACACGGCTATTTCTTTTTCTTGTTTGTATGGCGCATTGATATTGTTGCGTGTAACTGAAGATGGTTGTCTAGCAATTGTTTTTTTCCCTTTTTGTTGTTACTTTGATGCACTCTGCCTATTTATGTTGTGTATGAGAAGGACAGTCTTCATGTCTCCCTTGTTGGTGCTGTTTTGTTCCTTGTTGTCGAAAAATTCTCCTTCGTGTGTGAAATGTTATGAAAAATATTTTGAAAGTGGGTGGGCAATGTCACGGACTGGCATTTTTGCGATCCGTTGTCACGGCAATTAACGGGCGCCGTACTACCCCGCTGACCGGCGGGAACTGCGGGCGCATGAAAGAGAGCCGGGAAGTAATGTCACGGACTGCCATTTTTGCGACCCGGCGTCACGGCAATTGACGGGCGCCGTACTACGCCGCTGACCGGCGAGAACTGCGGGTGCATGAAAGAGAGCCGGAAAGTGCAGAATGGGGTGTTCTTCTTCGAACGTCGCCGCCGACGTTTGATCCTTTGTACCTATGGGGGCGTCTGCAGGGTCGTGGAAGGCCGCGATGTACCCCGAACAAGGTTTAGACTACGGGACGCACCGGCTGAGAGCCAAACAGCCTTCTGAGCGTTCCCACGGGAAAAATTCTAATTGCCAAGCCGTATAACAGCACCCCAACAGGTTGTCACTCTCGCTAGTTGAGGGCCCTCTCCTAATTAAAAAGGGGTGGGGACAATATATTTTTTGGGGCGGAGTTTCCAACAATGAAACGCGCATGATTGGACCCACGTAGAGGTCTCTTGTCTCCAAGGAAGAGAGCGAGGGGACACGAGGGTGATTTAAGCACAGGATTTTGCCCTGCTAGGCAGGCTAGTCGCTGACTAACATGGTTTAGAAACAGATCAACAAGCATCTCATCTACAAGTTTTTAGTGTGGCTCTGTATCGACTGGCCACCTAAACTTAGCCGTTCGTCTAGTTGTGACGCGATATTAACGTCTACAACGTAGACATCGGGACTTCACTTCGAGGTAGCTCAACCGGCCCGAGGTCACCTGCAAGCACTAGCCTCCCGGAGCCACCAGCGTTGCAACACCGCCGACATCACAGTCGTGCCAGAACTCTCTTCGACTTTTCGCATACGATCGTCGGGGGCGCAACGCTGCCGGTCAACACACGTATGCCTTCACCTGTTTATATCTTCGAACTTTCTCCTCCGTAGTTCTATTGTTGTTAGTTTGTGTAGTTTGTAATGGTTCTCTCTCGTAAGCTGATTTATTGTTTTTATATGTATTTTTTGTTGTATCCAGTGTTGATGTATTTTGTTAGTTGTATTGAAATATTGTACTAGATCCCGTGTGCTGCAATATCACTAGAGTAAAGTTTGTTTTGTTTTCTCACGTGTTCGATCTCTTCACTGTCTCTGCTTGCGTACGGAACGAACTAGCGCTCTGTCATTCCCGTCGCCGACTTCGCGCTGGCGACGCTAGAGTGGCAGCTTGTAACAGCGACAGATACACGGTATTGTAGAAATTGTTAAACCATGGCGTTTGCATAACAAGTGGGTGCCTTTAGCTCACTGCAATGGGCTCTGACAGGGTCCACCATCTCTGATGGCTCTGTCCTTGAAGACTGCTGCTCGGCGGATGTCTACACTGCCCAGAAGCTTCGCCGCGGAAACATTGCCGCCGGGGCTGCCAGGTTTCCTTCCCTATTGCGGGGCTCATAAATGATTACCTGGCGGCCGGTCACCTTCTTTTATACCCAGTCGTCATCCGAGCGGCGACGTTCGCTGGCGCGATAGTAACCCCGCATAAGTTTTTGAAGAAACAATGGCCCAGTGCTTGCACAGTGCGTCGCACTCTCAAACGTCATCGGCCTTTGGGTGCGTGGTCTCAGCGTTCTCTTGGAATGGGCCCAGTAGTAGTCATGCAGTAGGAGGAAGTCACCTTAACGAATATATTAGTTGCCGGGCAGAAGCTTGGAATTGAGCCAGACGTCCAAACCTAGGAATTTAGTGATGAGTGACGTTTTAGAGGGCCACTAGTCAGAGAACGTTGAGGCATATTAAATCGTGATAATGAACAACATCGTCAACAAAGTGAGCAGCTGCGTTACGAACACGTGATGGACCGTTCACCGATTCAGAAAAAAAATAATTGTGGCGTTGAGCGCACATCGCAAACTGTACCTACACTCTAGGCATGTTACGCGCACAGACGTTCCTTTCACGCGACACGGATCATGCACGAACTCGGAACCAAGGCCGGATAAGCAATACAGGAGGCGATGCACACAGAGCCCGATTGTAATATAACGTTTCAATATTAAGGGTGTAGCTCAAGCGTCCTTCAAGTTTTTGGAATGTTCTGTGACCGCTATACGCTATACGTTTAAGGGCGGCCTTAAACGCAGACTAATAGGTTTTTACTGATGATGTGGTGGTGTAGTTTAGATTCAGAAGCTTCTCAAATTCTGATAAAAAACTAGTTCTAGTTGATTTATAAACTCTACGTATACTGTAGAACAATGATTCACCTGCGTTTACCTTCGGCATGTATGGTGCCTAAATAATGTTTTTTGTTTTTGTTTTCGCGCGTCTATGTGATACCTTACATCATTTTGCTTTCTTTGCTCTGGGTTATCTTATTTGTTTTTCGATATATTATGTTCTGTTTTATGTTCTCATTTTTATTGTTTTCTACTGCTTCACCTCCGTTTTTATGTTCCGTTTACTGGTAACTCCTAGCACAGATCCGTGACCACTGCATAATGTCCCGGCTTCCACACGCACCTTTGTTCCCTAGCGAGCCCCGACCGTCTAAGCGGTCACTGCACCTGTAGGTGTCTGGTGCTCCACTTATCCCCCTCTCCTTCGCTTAACAAGTCTCGACTTGTTTTCCACGGCAGTTCGGCTGCCTCCTCTACATCATCATCATCATTTATTTTCCCATGAAATGCTCCTGTTTGGATTTTACATAAATAGGGCCGGTTGAGCTCGGGCCCGTTTTTGTAACATCGAAAGTTATACATTCAAGTCACAAATTTTCAACACACATCTCGGAGAAATGTTTATTCATAGTAAGAATGAACACGTTTTAGCGTCCAGACAGTCTAGGTCCTTTTAGAGCACCACGCCCCGCGCGTACGTCCTTGGATTAACGACAACGCCGGATGTAATAACTATACTGTACTACTCTACTATACCATACTACACTGAATTCACAGCGTAGGCATCTGAATGCTTGCGGCCTGTTTGATAGACTACACGGATGTCGTAACCTTGAAGACGTAGCGCGAAATGAGCTAGGTGACCAGATGGATGTTTTAATTACGACAACCAAAATGTTCACTGTGTATATGCCATACTTCATTCAGTGAAATTTCAACTGTGATTGTGCGCACCTGCTGATCTTCACTTTCCCTGACTACGTTTTTATTAGCACAGGTAAACCTTTACAGAACGAACATTGACCAGTTGTGCTCTTCTGCGCGAAAAAAAAATGTTTTTCTAAACATAAAACAATTTGTACAATCCGTTGTATTTTGCCGAAATAATAGCAATATGAGCAAGCATTCAGTCATCATCATCTATGTTTTACACCACAGTACCATTTTCCCCGTACTGCTTGCGTCCCACTATAACGTACGTGGCTTCGTAGCTGATGTAAGGCTGCATGCTGGGTAAGCCTTCTTCGCTGCTCCAATGCTCCACGGTGAGGCCCGCCTTGGTGAAGGAACTCTTTATGGAATCTTCGCTGGAGCTTAGCGACGAGAATGTTTTCGTGCAGACGGTGAAGCTGGGATTTCCCATGGACTCCACAAGCTACGAGGACGCCACCGGGTTTTATCAGTTTGGTGAGGTTGGCTACTGCCACCTCGTGTGCGGCTTGGTTCACTGAGCCGCTGTCCAAGCATAGACAGGCGACTACAGCGTCGAACTGTGTTTTCTTAGCGGGGCCCAACAAAACATCAGGCTTGGAAATGTCGCAGAGCGTCACTTCGCAAATTGCATTGCGCGTCCTCGCAATGATATCGCCGGCGCCGCACTGTACATCCCTGCAACCAAGAAATACACGACGATTATTAGGAGAAAGCAAGACACTGATGACCATATTACTTTTTTATGTGCGCTTTTAAATGTGCCACGTTTTTTCAGGGCATCAATGCGGACCTTCGTAATAACGCGTGAAATCGGAAGAGTTCAAGTACTGTGTCTGGATGGCACTTGTCTTCATAAGAAAACTAATAAAATTTTGTTCACGACTTTACGTTTCCAATTAAGTTTACTAAATCAAAGGCCACCAAGAACAGGAGTCTGGCGTGTAAAACAAAGCTGGATGAGGTGAACCGCTTTCACACAAAATGTCGGTCGTCGGTAGGAGCATCTTGGAATATCCGGTTGGGCGAGGCTAAAGGAGACACCACCCAGGCGCTTCGTGGAGATTCTTAACTGGTGAAGCTAAAATGTGCGGCCACAGGTGACTGCAGAAGTCACAGCCCATACAAAATTACCGCCCGTTAAACTCCAACCGCAAGGGCTTGGCGAACCCGTTCCCACCATTGCCACGTCAACGCTGTTCTGCTGTAAGGCCGCTCTCTAAGATCAACATTTGACAGTTTTAGTTTACCATTAACGTGATTGCGAGGTTTAAAATATCAGCGTTACCGTGCAGCAAACATTCGTTGGTTACAGACTCTTAAAGTTTAGGGGGATAGTGTTAACGTGGTTGACGTGGCCTGCTTGGATGGTGGCGGCACCTATCGGAGGGTTAAGTTAACTAACAAAGAAATTAAAAAATAAACGAGAATGTCTGTCTGTGTTACCGCGTGAAGCAGTGTCAAAAGTATTTTTAGTGATAATAAAAGTAAACTATTATGAATCACGCTTCAAACGCGAGAAAATACATCTTGCCAATTCGTTTACGTCATTCTTCTGTATTTAGCCGTAGAGACCTTCGAAATGGCAAGATATCTCAAAAACTACGGTAGCTTATCCGTAATACTCGGTCATCGAAGCTAACTAAAGGCAAGCGAATCCTTTTTAAACAGGACGTTTGCTGCGAAACAAGTTAATCTTTCAACAAATACGCCAAAATCACTTCAATGCGGGCGTCCGAAAGTGCCATTATGCTTACGTACACTACGTACACCGTGCTAATACAGTAACGTTCAATCTGAAGAATAGCGTGCGTGAGCGGTACGGGTCACGTGCGTTGCTGCGCATGAAGACTTCGATCCCGCTATCCCGCTAAGTCTGGTAAACTATAACTGTCTATTGTCGCTTACTTTCCCCTGTGAAAGCAGCCGGTGCGCAGTTGGTGCTGGTGCTTTGGCCCCCAGGCCTGCTTTTGCGCCCGATGTACTGCATGAATTCTCTCAGAATCACTTGTCGACACCGTTATTGTAAAGTTGTCTGTTGTTTTGGTGTCCGTACGATCTAAACACTCCCTTTGTGGAAGTTGTCCATGCCCTTCCCAAGTGGAAGTTTGCCATGCGCTCCTCATGTGGAAGTTGAAAGTTATGATCAACCGATGTGGAAATTGTAAGTTGAAAATGCTGTTATTGGGCTCTGCGGCACGTATATACGATAAGACGAACGACGGTGCTGCCGATGGTGCGCGCGCGTGGTTGTGCCGCATACGTCGTTCTCTGAGAACGACGCCGTTTAAGGCGGACCCAATAAAGACATCGCTTCTAATGGCGAATGAATTTTTGCCTCGTCAAACCACGTTCAGCTTCTAAGTAACATGAAACGTGTGGAGCGATGGTCGAATGCGCTTAGTGCTAGCTTCCTTCACTGAAAGCTTCTTTCGGCAGCTTGTTTTCATGCAGCCTTGTGCTAATCGCGTTGATAGCAGCAGAGATTGCGCGCTATTGTTGTCAGTACCTTTAAGTACGCAGGGAACGTACGGGATATACGTTAGTGTCTCTATATTTGTAATGAGAAACGACTGTGCGTCACGCAGCACTGGTTTTCACTGAGCATGAAAATCAACATCATTAGCCTGACTACAGCAGGACAAAGACTCCTCTAATGTTCAGCCGATGAAGTCTGTCATGTGCTTGCAGCTGCCACGTTATACCCGCAAATTTTATCGCAACTGCCAATGTAAATTGCTGTCTGCCCTCGCGCGTTATCTTTCTCTTGCAATCCAGTAAATTACTCTTACTGACCAGTGGTTATCCTGCCTACGCACTACACGCCCCACTCATATCTATTTCTTTTTGATGTCAACTATGGTGTCATTAACACCCGTGTGTTTCCTGACCCCTTCAGCACTTTTCAGGTCTTTTGAGATTACACCCATCATTTTCATTTCAATTGCTCGCTGCACAGTCCCCAATTTAGGTTCAACTTTCTTTGTAAGTCTCTTGGTTTCTGCTGCGTAACTAATTACCGGTCAGGTGCAGCTGCTATATACCTTCCTCGTGAGGGATAGTGGCAGCTTATAATTCATGATTTGAAAATGCTGACCGAATAAGGTCCACTGCATCCTTATTTTTCTAGTTATTTCACTATTTTAATTCGACCCCATGGTTACTACCTGTTCTGAGTTCTTAACGTATTCTTAACCTTTCCCAGTGTCTCGATACCTATCGCAAAACTTTGTCTTCTCCCTAGGCTGCCGCACACCACTTCACTATTATACATAATAATTCTCACACCCGCTCATCCACTTTGCTCCTCCAATTGAGTAATCATGAGTAGAAATTCGTCCCCTGAGATACTCAGAAATACAATGTCATCAGTGATTCGCGGGCTACCAAGGTACTCTTCATTAACTCTAAACCCTACTTCTTCACCATACGGACACACGGTGTTTATCATTGGGGAGCTTGTGTCTCTCTCTCCTACACCCCTATTTATTGAGATTGAGTTGCTTTCTGCATAGAGGGCTATGGTGGCTGTGGATCTGTTGTAGATTACTTCCAGTATCTAAGCTATGCCAGCACCTCGATTCTGCTATGTCTGCATGACAGCTGAGATTTCGACTGAACTAGATACCTTCTCGTAATCTATGAAAGCTCTATGTAAGTGTTGGTTGCATTTTGACAAATTTTATCGATTGGTAAAGTGAAACCTCGATGATATGAATCTGGCGGAGTCACTGAAAGTATTCGTGTCACATGAAATTGTTATCCGCAGAAATTATGCTAGATCACCACGTGACGAAAAAAAAAACCTGGAGCATGTTTTCATTTATTGTCTCTCAGGGCCACAGCAACGTCACGAACACCTATCAATGAAATTTTTATACATGAGTGACCATACTTGCACTATTACGTGTACAGCCCGTATTCGCATGTACGATTGATGAACCATATGTGCAACCAACGACCGCCATTAGCCGTTGCTAAACTGCGTACTTTATTTTGCATGACACCAATGTACTGCGAAAAAAAAAACAAAAGCTGCCGGCATCTTCAAACGGAAGAACTGATCTAAAATACCATAGAACTTCTCATGTAGACCAAAATACCGTTGTTTGAGCGCAGTGTTTTGGTAAATATGAGCAGCAGTCTCCGTGTATTTGACCCTTAGATTTTAGTTATTTTTACACGTAATCTTTAGCTTATGTTTTTGTTAGCCGAAAACACACTGTACTTGCCGTTAAAAGCTTTCCGATGTACTTCTTACAGATGCTGTGATTCTTAAATATTAAGCTTGAAAGTCATGAAGACACTGCCATAACTTACGCATGTCCTTCGATAACGGCAAGACGCTTTGCGAACGGCGTCCAGTCCTTGGCGTCGGGCGCAGCGTCCACCCACTTGCGCACTTCCCGGATGTTGGCAGGCACTAGGTCGGCCATGACGATATGCTGGAATGCCACTGACGCTGCCATAGCCGTATACATACAGGGACCACAACCCACTTCTAGAAGAACTCCGCCTTTAACGAGATCTTGGGGAAGGGAAAAAGTTGTCTATTTTGTGAGCAGCACTAGGACATAATATAGAACGCTGTCAAACTTCATGTTCGTATATGAAGCATTCGAAATATCTCCGTACTGTGAGAAAGCCGAACTAACAACGTAGTGTTGTCGCTGGTAGTTGAGCATTGAAGAAAGCTCTGGTTAGCAGAAGCAAGAAATACACGCATTGACAGTTTTAGAGCAGACATTATATTGTCGGTTATTTCTCTAAAGTAAACACAGAACCTCACACTGCAAAAAAAAAAAAAGAATTCGCAACGGGAAGAGGAAGATAACGAAAGGAATCAAGGTGAGGTTCAACGCACCGAAAGCAAGAAAAGATGAACAGTGAGAGAAAGGGGGGAAAACTGACAAAGCTTTTTAAATTGTTGCGTGCTTAGGACGACCAGAAATACCGCAGAAAGGTGGCAGCTGCACTATAAACCGAGAATACGCTCCCCAGTCTACTACAGGTGGTCGTGTCAGATAACTGCGGTCGCGCTGGTATTAGCAAGCACCACATGCTTCTGATAAGTTTTATTAGCGTTCTTAAAGAGGTACGACCTACACATCAGTAGGTTGGAAGGGACAGCACTATGTTCTTTCTCAATTCTGACATTGCATGACCAATCGACCGGAGCACTCAAAGCGGCTTTTTTGAGCAGTAGTGTTGACCTCGCCTTGGGTACCCTGCTATTCAGGCACATGAATTTCGGCGATGACGTGTAATGGATAGTTGAGCAGTAAAAATTTAGAAGGTGACCCTCCACTGGTTACACAAAAAAACACGTGAGTACTCACTAACACGTGTGGCATTCCCGATTTGAAGTGAAAAACTTTGGCACCAACCCCACGCCATAGTAATCGAACCGTTAACTTCCTGAGTTAAATGAAACCGAAGATACGACTCTCAAACACTGCCTCCTAGATGGCATGCCTCTTTCAATTAATTATTGCAGGAAAGTACAGCAGGGAAGAGATAATGCGTATGCAGACCGCCGCTAGCAGGTGTGTCATGGAATGACGGAATAATACAAAGCGGGTCTAAGGAGGACGTTATAGCGTAATATACAGTATTTTCTGTCATTGGCCACAAGCATCGACAACATGTATGTGTGTTTGGTCTGAGGCAAAAGGAAAAAAAATATCGTGTAGGTGATTTGTTAGACAAATGGTGCTAAGCTGTTCGCCTTCTAATCTGCCTAATTGCACGCATGTAAACTCGAATTTATGAAACCATGCAGTTGGCTAATCTTCGGCCTTATTGGCAGGGACGGGAAAAAAAAAGGAGCAACAAGTAGCCTATAGGAATAATGATTGAGGCTTCAAATGTGAATGAAGGAGAAAGCTACAACATAATCAGACTTTATATGAAAAAGATTGAAAATATGAAACTTGAAAGCGGTTACAAGAAACACGAAGATGACGACATTCGCAGCTGAAAAAAAAAGGTTCTGATGGATTAATTTGCTATGGCAGACATATTGGTTTAACAAATAGCTTGTTGTGCTTCATAACAAGTCACTTGAAAAGATGGTAAAAAATAATTTCTTTATAATTTTATGGTGGATCAGCTGCGTTCATAAGACGTTTGTTAAAGTGGGCGCCACTGTGTAATGCGAAGTATGCCATGTTGAGCAGGAATGAGCTTGCTGTACTGCGTTCCGAAAACTTGAGATTATCCTCACTAAATCATTTTTGAGGACCGAGAGTCACCTTTTTATGTGTTATTTTTAACAGTTCAGAATAACTTTTTTAAATTACGACAAAAGAACAATCTAGTCGTCCATATATGTGACCCAATCAGTTTTTCATTGGAATACCAGCCTTCTGTGCTCTCTGCAAAGGTGACTGAATAGATCGAGTACCCACGATGTTGATACAGGTACCCTAAAATTCAAAACTGCAATACGAGTTCTCTATTTGAAATATCCAGTCAAAACACTATGTTGTCCCGTCTCGTAAAACCATGAAGTTTACTTGCCTTTTACGAGAAAACTGCGATGATTAGTGGAACCCTGGCTACCAAGCCTTATGTTTCCTCCTAACTCCTTCAATTTTGCAAGGGTACCAATAGTGACTGACTTTTCCGTAACCATTTTGGTCCGCCTACAATTCTTCTGAATGTTATCGGCTGATAAAAATGATGCACTTCATGTTTGTTTTGAGCTTGTTCGCTCGCAATTTTTTTCCGAAGTGTAATTGTCTCCTTTGAACGCAATCTGAGATGACATTCGCAGCTGAAAAAAAAAGGTTCTGATGAATTAATTTGCTATTGCAGACATATTGATTTAACAAATAGCTTGTTGTGCTTTTCATAACAAGTCACTCGAAAAGATGGTAAAAAATAATTTCTTTATAATTTTTTGGTGCATCAGCGGCGTTCATAAAACGTTTGTTAAAGTGGGCGCCACTGTGTAATGCGAAGTATGCTATGTTGAGCAGGAATGAGCTTGCTGTACTGCGTTCCGAAAACTTGAGATTATTTTCACTAAATCATTTTTGAGGACCGAGAGTCACCTTTTTATGTGTTATTTTTAACATTTCAGAATAACTTTTTTAAATTACGACAAAAGAACAATCTAGTCGTCCATATATGTGACCCAATCAGTTTTTCATTACAATACCAGCCTTCTGTGCTCTCTGCAAAGGTGGCTGAATAGATCGAGTACCCACGATGTTGATACAGATATCCTAAAATTCAAAACTGCAATACGATTTCTCTATTTGAAATATCCAGTCGAAACACTATGTTGTCCTGTCTCGTAAAACCATAAAGTTTACTTGCCTTTTGCGAGAAAACTGTGATAATTAGTGGAACCCTGGCTACCAAGCCTTATGTTTCCTCCTAACTCCTTCAATTTAGCAAGGGTACCAATAGTGACGGACTTTTCCGTAACCATTTTGGTCCGCCTACAACTCTTCTGAATGTAATCGGCTGATAAAAATGATGCACTTCATGTTTGTTTTGAACTTGTTCTCCCGCAATTTTTTTTCCGAAGTGTATTTGTCTCCTTTGAACGCAATCTGATCTTCAAGAGCTGCCGACTTTGGGTATTCATCAAAATGTATGCACTTTGGTATAAGATATCTCTTAGCATCTGGTATCATGAATATACATCTTATAAGCGCTAACTCATCAGACGTTGGAAGAAATAGATGCGTGGCAAAGCCATTTCCTCCCCTTCATCCAATACGCTCATTTTTTTTCAGGTGAATCATGGAAACATATCCACGTGGTCACTTTCTCACCTGAAGTGAATATGGAGTGCATTTCCTGAAGGATATGTTTCAGCAAAGGCCACATTTTCTCAGAATGCGCTGGATATTGACTTGGAGAAAATTCTGCACTGATGTGTGCGACAAGTTGTTCTTGATCCATGAAGCAGAGGAAACGTGAAACCTTCCATCAGCAGAGGAAATCAGAAACAAAGCAAACTTGGTTAGGATATCAATAAAGAAATCCTTTTTTTTTAATGCGAAGCATTTCTTAGCGAACTTAGGCGATTTTGAGCGTATCTATCTATCTATCTATCTATCTATCTATCTATCTATCTATCTATCTATCTATCTATCTATCTATCTATCTATCTATCTATCTATCTATCTATCTATCTATCTATCTATCTATCTATCTATCTATCTATCTATCTATCTATCTATCTATCTATCTATCTATCTATCTATCTATCTATCTATCTATCTATCTATCTATCTATCTATCTATCTATCTATCTATCTATCTATCTATCTAATTGCCTGCCTATCTATCTATCTATCTATCTATCTATCTATCTATCTATCTATCTATCTATCTATCTATCTATCTATCTATCTATCTATCTATCTATCTATCTATCTATCTATCTATCTATCTATCTATCTATCTATCTATCTATCTATGTGTCTGTCTCTGTCTGTCTGTCTGTCTGTCTCTCCGTCCGTCTGTCTGTCTGTCTGTGTGTACGTCTTGTGTGCCTGAGATCGTCTCCCTGAATTCGTATGTTTCAAATTTGGCGCAGGAAGACAAAATAAATTACAAAAAAAGTGAATAAAGTGACGCGCCTGTCGTGTATACAATGAAACCATCCCCTCCGAAGGCTTGACATTTATAAAAGCACCAATACTCTTACAAATGACAGCGAATATGGGGCAACGTCTCGAGCGCGTCACAAGCCCGGCAAGATTGCGAATTGAAAACCTAAGAAATCCATTTGCTTTCTTGATGATGTCGGTGACATAACGCAAGCGTCGCCTCTTTTTGTGATAAAGAAAATCCCGTTGACTTCTCACTTTGTCTTCATGTTTGCCTTGAAAGGATTTTTTTGCAGCTCAGAAAAACAGCTTGCGTTGCCACAGTTCTTGCAGTGTTAGGAAATTGTGACCTGAGCTAGTGCACTGACTCGGGCAGTGATTCTGCCTTGCACTGCAAGAACAGCGACAGCATGAGCTTTCTTGAGCTGCAAATAAACAAAATTCCTATCTGTGGCAGCGACAAGGATATAAAAGCCGGCAATCAAGGTTTTCCTTATCGCACGAAAAACAGGCGACACGTGCTTTGGTTCACCTTATTCATCATTTCTCTGATGGTCCTATTAAGAGCCTGCCGGACGTTTCGCGTGCAGGTAGTCTTGTCACATTTTCGCTGCTGGTTGTATGATTATCGGTGCTGATGTTTTGTCAAATGTGGCGAACCTTGAAGAAATAAACGCGTTCTGAATCCCACGATTCCTGTGCGTGCGTCTACTATGTGTCTAACAGGTTCTTTTCTTCCCGTGGGTTGCCCCATGGCGGTGGTCTAGTGGCTAAGGTACTCGGCTGCTGACGCACAGGTCTCGGGTTCAAATCCCGGCAGCGGTGGCTGCATTTCTGATGGAGGCGGAAATGTTGTATGCCCGTGTGCTCAGATTTGGGTGCACGTTAAAGAACCCAGGTGGTCAAAATTTCCGGAGCCCTCCACTACGGCGTCCATCATAATCATATGGTGGTTTTGGGACGTTAAACCCCACATATTTATCACTATTTTCCCGTGGGTTAAACGTGTCTTCAAGATCTATGAACCAACCAGCCCCCACAACATGCATTACTGCATATTTTCCAAACATGCAGCCGATTCCCCAACAGCACGGCCCTTGGGGTGCGGGTACTCGCTAAACCTGATCCATGGCCGGTATGAGCCCTAGAATAGCTTGAATAGACCCTGTGAATGCTAAAAGACATTTTGCGAGGATGTAACCAAAAGTGATAGTTTATATGATTTTCTTCGTTCAGCGAACTGGGAGCGCAGAGAAAACACAAAGGACGAAGGGAGGAACCACACAACACGAGCGCTCACTATCAACTGATTTATTTTCCACATCGGAAGGAACATATATAAACACAAAATGCGCATGTCAAAAAGATTATGACGAAATCAAGGGCAGCAAGCGAAGCGTGTAATCAAGGCACATGTCTAGGGGTTATCTAGGTAGCTGAATTCACAGTCAAGTAGTGAAAAGGAAGGATGACTTATACATTGGTCCGTATTCCTGGAAATGTGATAGGCTTCAGAAATTTCGCGCGTAGTTTGAGGTGCGGGATACCCTTCCCACGTAATAGCCTCAGTCTGTGAAAAGCTCTTGCGTACGGTCAAAAATAATGAAAAACGCACATGTACTTCTTCAGAGAACAAGGAAGAGAATAAGAAGCGCGCGGCAGTAATCCCCTACATTCATAAAATGGCCCATGGGTTAAAAAATGTGGGAAACCGGTTCGGTGTGCGCGTGGTTTTCTCGGCACCCAATAAATTGGCCAGTATATGTTCAATGGTGCACAGGAGGGCACATAATGCGTCTAAAGGTAGAGGATGCCTCCAGAAGCACGTAACTAAGTTTGTTAAGTGCATCACCGGAGTAGTATATAAGATACCCCTTTCTTGTGGACGTATGTACATTGGCCAGGCCGGCCGATGTGTGAACGTGCGTCTCAGGGAACACAGAAGCTCGTTGAAAAATACACCTTACTCCCATTTAGCGTCACATTGCGCTTCGTGCAAGTGCCAACCTCTGTTTGAGAATACAATCGTTCTGTTCCGGCATCCTCATCAAACTACGCGCGAAATTTCTGAAGCCTATCACATTTCCAGGAATACGGACCAATGTATAAGTCATCCTTCCTTTTCACTACTTGACTGTGAATTCAGCTACCTAGATAACCCCTAGACATGTGCCTTGATTACACGCTTCGCTTGCTGCCCTTGATTTCGTCATAATCTTTTTGACATGCGCATTTTGTGTTTATATATGTTCCTTCTGATGTGGAAAATAAATCAGTTGATAGTGAGCGCTCGTGTTGTGTGGTTCCTCCCTTCGTCCTTTGTGTTTTCTCTGCGCTCCCAGTTCGCTGAACGAAGAAAATGAATTACCAACTGGCCCACATTTTCATCCTTTTGCAAGTTTATATGATGTCAGTAAATTATTATGCACTGAACAAAGTTTACGTGCTGCAACAACACTCAGCCTATAGAACTCTACCATGCACAACGGTTTTCTTCGGGGCACTTCTACATTCCTAAACCATTATATATAGTTAAGAGGAATGCTGTAGTGGAGAGCTCTTGGGAGTTTTGTATGACTGCTATTTTTTGTGTCCACCTGAGCCCACCTCTTTGAAAATTCAGCCGTTGTGGAAGGGATTCGAATCTTGCGGTACATCTTGAGGATGAACTCAGCCTAAGAATTGCAGCCTAACGCGACATGAGGAGGTTTCATATATACCTGATCAACTTCCATTCTTTCTGCATTTTCGCCTGTCTTCTTTATGGTAATGTGATTAACAGCAGGCCTATGTACTCCAATAATACTGTAAAGATGTATATAACGATGAGTCTCCCAGAAAAACGCTAACTAAAGGTTCGTGTACAATTTGTGTCTATAAAAGGGCGACAATGCATTGAGTGCCGCCTTTACGTTGCACAGTTACGTTGTAATGTACACGGCAGTGTATTAACGTGCCTGCTAAGCTTACAATCTGCGGGCAACAGAATTTACATAAAGGAGGACAATAGAAATGCGCTTTCAAGACACAGAAAGAAAAAAAAAGCAAGGGACACATACAGCGCCAATTACAACATGTTTAATGAAAAATAAGGCGAGTGTCACATAAATGTGTGGAAGCAGGTGACACAAATCTTACGCATTACAAAATACCGAGCACTTAAAAACTACCTGCCGCCTAGGCAACGCCAATGAAGCTAAGCTAACACATGACTCTGCGCAGTCCGAGATTGATTTTCTTTGGAACGTCGCCAATTGATTATGGTTGCAGGGTATGACGGTGACCTGATCGAACTGTGGGGTGCATCTTTGAGGCGCCTTTATATCAATGGCCCCTCAGTCAATGAGGTCAATGGCCCCTCAGAGGACAATGTTTTGCGTTTTTGCTGATTGAAACGACGTAGGCCGTAGTAGACGCCGTCAAAAAAAATAGGACGTCATGAAAAATGGTGGGCAAACTTGAAAGTGGCGTCACCAACCACAATTTCTTTTTAACTTTAAACTTTAAAGTTAACTTTAAAGTTCCATTTGACACTTTTAATGAAGTGACGTCCCGTTATCAGTTGAAGGTACCCGCTTCCACATTCTAAGCTCACTCGGCCGCTGTCGTTGGTTTTTTTGGATGCTACAGGCAGGATCACTCCCACCTCGTAGCACATTCAGCCACTTTGCTGATGGCATAATTCTAGGATGCCCTAGTTGTGAGGCATATAGTTGCACACTGGCTCACGTGCTCTGGCAGTGCCCAGCGTTACGTGGCACAAAGTTTAGCACAGAATAAGACTGAGAGAGGGCTTTTAAAAGCCCCGAACTCTCATTCCAATACTCGGCAGTCCAGGAGGCCTGCGAACAAGCGGATGGCCACAGACTTCCAGTCCCGGCGTGGACGCGGTCAGCAACTTCGGCAGACCTCTCTTAGGGGTGGGTGTGACTAGTTCTTCAGGACCAAATAAAGTTCATTTCATTTGACTTCGCTCCAAATAAAGACACCCATCCTTGCGATATAAATAAATAAAATGTACTTTTTTAGGAAGCTTACGATAGGCATTCCAGCTTTATTCTAAAAGTTATGGACCGGGTGTACCTTCACTCCTTGCCACAGCGCACTTGCGGAGCGCAGCTTGCAGTATCGAATAATAGACGTTTTAAGGGCGAAGGTTCTTAAAGTAGCACCCATTCGCATAGGTCGGCACTTTGAGAGACTGCTCACTCATACTCACTCACCACAATTTTTTTAGCCTTCACCCTCACTCACGTTCATACTCACGCCTACTCACACTCACTCCTACTCACTCGCGTTCATACTCACTCCTTCTCACACACAAAGTACTCACTCACGTTCATACTCACTCCTTGTCACACTCAGAGTACTCACTCACGTTCATGCTCACTCCTACTCACACTCATGTGTACTCACTCACGTTCAAACTCACTTCTACTCACACTGAAAGTACTCATTCACATTCATACTCACTCTTACTCATACTCATGAGTACTCACTCACGTTCATACTCACTCTTACTCATACTCATGAGTACTCACTCACGTTCATACTCACTTATACTCATACTCAGAGTACTCACTCATGTTTATACTCACTCCTACTCACACTCATGAGTACTCACTCACGTTCAAACTTACGCCAACTCAAACTCTAGGCCCTCACTCACATTTATACTCACGACTACTCACACTGATGAGTACTCACTCATTTCATACTCACGACTACTCACACTTGTGAATACTCACTCACGTTCATACTCACGCAAGCTAGCACTCATAGGCCTTCACTCACGTTCATACTCACTACTACTCACACTGATGAGTACTCACTCATGTTCATACTCACGCCTACTCACACTCTTAGAGAAACACGAACTGCTGGGCGAGTTGGTGATTCATTTTAACTGAGGTGCGCAAAAAATTGAAGTACAAAAGGAAGACACCTCAAGGCAGCGCGCCGTGTCCAGGTGTCTCCTTTTTGTACTTCAGTTTTTCGTGCCCCTCAATTAAGACTCATAGTTACTCACTCACCTTCATACTGACGCCTGCTCAGGATCATAGGCCCTCACTCACCTCCGCACTCACATAAGAATTCACCTTCATACTTACGCCTACCCATAGCCAGGCGCACTCACCCACGTAATTTTACATTCACATACTCATCATCATCACAGCCCCGCCATGGTGGTCTAGTGGCTAAAGTACTCGGCTGCTGACCTGCAGGTCGCGGGTTCATATCCCGGCTGCGGCGGCTGCATTTCCGATGGAGGCGGAAGTGTTGTAGGCCCGTGAACTCAGATTTGGGTGCACGTTAAAGAACCCCAGGTGGTCGAAATTTCCGGAGCCCTCAACTAAGGCGTCTCTCATAATCATATAGTGGTTTCGGGACGTTAAACCCCACATATCAATCAATCAATCATCATCATCACAGCAGGACAAAAGCCTATTCCCTGTTCCGCCAGTCAACTCGGTCCTTTGCTTGCTGTTGCCACTTCATACCCGCAAACTTTTTAATCCCACCTGCCCAGCAAACTTTGTCTCCCCTTTTCCCGCTTTCCTTCTTTTTGAATCTACAAAATGACCGGCAGAAAACGAAAGTAATGAACAACAACATTGAAAGAAGACAGCGCTTCGAGATAGGTGGCAGTGCACTTGAAGTTGGAAAAGGTATATACGTCTAGTTAGGACAGGTAGTACCTGTGGAGCCGAGCCATGAGACTGAAGTAACTAGAAGAATAAGACTGGGGTGGAGAAGATTCGGCAAACATTCTCAGCTCATGGCTGGTAGATTGTCACTATCCCCTCAAGACGAAGGTATATAACAGCTGCATCTTGCCAGTAGTTACCTACTGAGTAGAAACCTGGAGGCTTACAAAGAGGGTTCAGCTTAACTTGAGGACGACGCAGAGAGCGATGGAAAGGAAAATAGTAGTTGTAACCTTGAGAGTCAAGAAGAGAGCACAGTGGATCAGGGAACAAACCGGGGTTAAGGATATCATAGTTGAAATCAAGAAGAAGAAATGGACATGGGCCGGGCATGTAGCGCGTAGGCAGGATAACAGATGGTCATTAAGCATAACTGACTGGACTTCCAGAGAAAGCAAACGGGTTAGGGGGAGACAGTAAGTTAGGTGGGCAGATGAGATTATGAAGTTCGCGGGTACATAATGGCAGCAGCAAGCATAGGACCGAGTTGAGTGGCGGATCATGGTAGAGGCTTTTGTCCTGCAGTGGACGTTGTCAGGCCGATGATCAATATTAACATTGAGGTAGCTTTACGTGTACTCAGGTTACTCAATAAACAATCGAGCTGAACAATTGTCGCTTTCTTTAAGGGTCGGTAGGTTCCACAAACAGGCAATGACTCAGCGCAATTACGACGCATCTGCACATTCATTTGTGTGCCATGACGCGTAGGAGACGCTGAGACATCGTTTTAGAATCTCAGTAATGTGTTACAAGCACTCAGAATGCGCTTTCGTAGGCGACGACGCACGCGCGCGAAATAGAGACGCTCTCGACAGCTTCAGTATACTACACGGCCGCCGCTATGATTACCCGCCAGAACCCAAGACGTTGCCATGCCAATCGAGTCGGCCGCTTCGTTCGTTCCCCTGCCCCTAGCTCCTTCTGACTGCACTAGCGGGACAGGCGGGCGCCGGGGCTTCGCCGCCAAGTCGGCGCCGCAGCTCCGCGGCCATTCCGGCCGCCCCGGCCGCCCGGTCACTGGTAGGTGTTCTGTGGCCCGGCGTGACCGTCGAGACGGCACCTCCCCTCTCTGCCTCGCCTTCAGATGGAATGCGTTGCGTACGGCAGTTTTGCATTCGAGAAATTGTGCGCATCTTCGGAGATGTTTTCCTTCCTCTGTGGGTCGCGCTCACGCGGAGACTTCGTTGGCTCCGTGCCGGCATTGACGATTGCTGGGGGCCTTATTTATGTATCTCCGGACGCGGTTAACGTTCATTGGCAGTGTGCGTATGCAGAGTTATCGCGGACAGCCGAATAACACGGTAATTAACGAGTCGCGTTATGTGTGTTTTTGTATTAGCCCGCGTTATGTGAATGATAGAATAAATTATCCAGGGTGATTGGGCGCTTATTGCACATTGTGTCTGCACTGTTGAAGGCATAATATGCCGCCGAAAACTGAAGGGAGGGTAGAGATTGAAACGGTGATGCGAACAGGGTCCGATTACGCTATTGCATACTATACTAATGACGGCGAAGCTCAACCGTCCTCCAAGCTTTCTTTTATTTTCTTAATGGGGCACGGAGAAGGCGAAGTTTGCACGCAGCTTTGCGCTTGAGAGGTCATGAGATCACTTAAGGTTTTCGTTCAAGGCAACTTTCACTTGAGGGACAACGCAGAGATAGAAACTGCAAACTCGCTGCGCACAATGTGCGTCGCGCACACAATGTGCTTCCTCTCGAGGGCCATTTCAGCGTTTTTTTTTGTCGCTTGCGCAGTGCATTATTTTTTTCTGAACCGGCTCGCGCGGCGATTTTTGTTAAAGGGCTTCTCAAGACCTTGTTGTTTTACATGTATTATCAGCGGGTTGCGTAGACCGAAGGCGCAAGAGGTAAGTGCCGCAAGAACGGTAGCAATAGGGACAGGCAGTACAAAGTTATTCAGCCTAAAAAAATTCAAATTACAATAAAATGGACGGCTACCCTCAACTAGAGTTTTGCGCGGTCACCTCGCCCCCCCCCCCCCTGCTTCCATCTGATGTAGGATGGCTCCCCCAGTTTCCAAACTAACTGAAGGCTTTTACGTACAGTAAGCTTGCATGCCATAGTGCCTGT